TTTTTTATTGAGGGCTCTACAAATCATTTTATTGAAACTGAACAAAGAACACAGCAGCCTTCCCTGCCTGGGGACTGCCTTCCCCAGGCCACTCTCCCTCTAGAAGCACACGCCCTTGGACATTTCTTACCTAAATACGGTTTCCATGAATCTGCCTATTCTGGGCATTTTCCATAAAGGGGGTCCTATAGTGTGTGACCTCTGTGGCTGGCTTCTTAGACTGAAGTCTAAGTTTTCAAGGTTCAACCATGTTTTCGCAGGTATCAGTCAGTATCCATTCTGCCTTGTACTTAATCAATCTTCAGGGCAGACTCTCTCCTATATCATCACCATCTTGTCCTCTGGGAATCTATTGAGATGAGCTCACCAGGGAAACCATCAGCTTGGAAATAGTATTTTCTTGCTTGCTTGACTGATCTTCAAGATTTTTAACGCATGTGAGAATTTGGAAACACCCAGTCTTTCCTTTCTACTCTACTCCATTTTCTGGGGCCCCTCTGTTCTCTCTTTAGGAACCTTGGTAGTGCAATAGTTAAGCACTCACCTGATAACTGAAAGGCTAGTGGTTCAAACTACCCAGAAATAGACCTGGTGACTGCCTCTGTAAAGATCACAGTCCAAAAAACTCTATAGGGCAGTTGAGCTACATACGACACGGGGTTGCTCTGAGTTGCAATGGATGAAGTGTTATTGAACAACACCCCTCTCCTCTACGAGGATCTGAGTTACATCCTCAAAATCAATCCCAGGTGGTATCACTGCAGACAAACATCGAACAAGTTCACCTTGGTTCCCACCTTTGTGACAGGTACAGGGGATGGCAGAATGAGCACTGGACTGACAGACTGACGATCTGCTTTATCGCTAGGTCTCTGTTACTTGTTAGCTCTGTTACCTTGGCCAATTCTCCTCTCTCTGAGCCTCATGGCTCTTATGAGCAAAGTGAAGGTTTGGTGGGGAGATCTCTGAGGTCTCACTCGATCCCAGCAGTCTGTGTATTATCCTTGAGTTTCTCGCCTGAGTATGGGTCCTTGTGCCAGGGTGGTCTCACCGGTCACAGAAAGAATACTCTGTGTATTGGACCTGGTCTAGAAAAAAGCACGCCACACCTGATTTTACGAGGGTCTGCCCAGCTCACAAGTGTCTTTGTATATAACTCAGCCACTCACAGCAGTGATTCCTGGAAGATATTTAGCACATGGAGAAGTCACTTCTAAGAAAGCTTGTTAATATAAATGAGGAGTCAGCGATGTAAAGAATTTTGTTATGGTAATTTTCCTTAAATCCATTAAGTTCCCCCTTTGTTAATACCCAGAATCACCTGGGGAGGTACCATCAAAATTATTTTGAATGCTACATCAATCTGTTGACTTGAAATGGTACTTATCCAATTCTGTTGAAAGGCTTCCATCTGATTGACAAAAGGATTTTACAGATAATGAAAGTCATTTCCTTTTTCAACACCTAGTTATCAAATTACCGCTTTGTGTGGCACCCTGGACATTTCTATATGCTGGTGAAATACCTTATGGGGAAATACAGGATGGGTTCGCAGCAGGCTCTTCTCCACAGTGAGAGAAGGGCAGCTGTGATAAGGGAGATGAAAAGGGAACCCGGCTCTTCCATCACAGATGTTCTCAGGAGATTGGCTCTAGGAAAGGGTAGACATACAGAGGTTGAGGTTTGCAATTGCTTTTTTGGAAATGTCTGTGGCTATAGTACCCTTTGAATAGAGTTTTATCACACGATTCAGTCTTAAAGTTTAACCTGCTCTACGCTTGTTTCTTTACGTGGCTGCCCTAGCATCCCTTATACTAACTCTCTTTTATGACTTTGTTAGGGGACTTACTTCTTGCCCCAACCTAATGCCCTGGAGTCTCAGATTTCAAATGAATATTGGTCTTTTTCTTTTTCTCTGATGACCTGACATCTCAGCCCCTCAGACACACATATGCAAGGAATCACACTCACCCTCCATTTCAGACGGAGCTCCAGGATGCTGCTAGCGAACGAGGTTTATTACCTTCTGCCCCCATCTTTCCATGTTTTAAAACCGTGTTCCCTCCTGTTTCTTTACCACATCAAGTCCAACTCCCAGGCGGCCATTTAATTCTTTCAAAAGCTCCCTTAATAATGATTCTCACTGTCGGCATCTTTGGCCAACAGTGTTAACAGCTCTATTCTGAATGTTTTAGTTCAGGCTCCCTCTGAAATCCTCCAAAGTCGTTCCTCAGCCCTTCCAATCAGTCTTCCCTTATCAACCCAGTTCTCTGTGTGCTATTGTTTTCTGGCAAGTGACTTGCACACACACACACACACACACACACACACACACACACTCATATTGAGAATTGTTTAACAAGGTTTGGATAATGTTTCTGAGTTTCCCTTCTCCTCCTGCTGGGCTGTTTTGCTTCCTTAGCCCAGGATGGCGTATTTCCCGAGACTGCCGTGATCATTTCTGAGACTGCTGAAATACTTTTTTTTTTTAGTGATATCTGTAGTATTTTATTTATAGTCTTTTCACTATTCAGTTGATTTATATATATATATTTTTGCATTAAAATTATTTAATAGTTATATGTTACTTTAACATATCAAAATAATTGAAAAATTTGTGTAATAGTCAAACAACTTATGATCAATTAATAATCTTTTTTTTTTCTTTCTTTTTCTCTCTCTCTCTCTCTTTTTTTTTTTTTAACATTTTATTAGGGGCTCATACAACTGTTATCCCAATCCATACACACGCTGAAATACTTTTGCAACAGTAAGTATGAGCCTTTGAACAACCCTATTGTTCAAATGCATTAGAGCAATGATGTTCGTTTGAAACTATTTGAGCAATTACAGCTGTTAGGAAGCCTTTAAACAATGACAATGATTCAACCTAGCGTAAAGGTTTGGCTCCAGTCCTTTAAGACCTTAAAATTGTGTCAGAGAGACCCACGAAGCAAGCAGGGAGCTGGAGGGTACCGACCGCGCTGGGGACCCATTGAAGAAGGGTGGTCGAGTGACCTGAGAAAGCTCCTGGGCAAGGAGGCACCGGGGCCGGGGTCTTCAAGAATGAGAAAGGCATGTCGAGGTGGAGGAGAAGGGGAGGGCAAGGACCTGCAAATGGGAATTGATCTCCTCAGCAAGCATTTACTAGGCAATGGGGTGCATGGGAGAGAGTCAGGAAACCTAGTTGAGTTGCTGAACCTCTCTGAGCCACAGTTCCTGTAAGGACTGTGTGTTCCTGTGGGTCAACGTGTCTGAGTGTGCTTCGTCTGTGTCCCGCACTGAGTTAGACTTGGTAAACATTCGCTTTCATCCCACCGCCCGACAGATTATTTACACATTCTGAACAGGCCGTTGGAAGAGAAGCCTCAGGATCCCTGAAGACGATGGGTTCTTGGCAGTTCTTTCAAGTGTTTTAGGCTGACAGACTAAAGGAGGGGGTTAGGTGGTGAAGATTTGGGGGGGAGGAGAAGAGACCAGGCAGCTTCGCCTTTCTGAAGCAGGTCTGCTGGAACGTGGTAGAATTTCTGAAACACACACACCAACCTTAGCAGATGGGGCTTCTCAGATCGGTAGTCCTCCACTGGGGAACGCCTCCTCAGCCCAGCCATTTGGGGTGGCTTTGGGTCTCACTGCCCTCCAGCCTGTGTTATTCAGGTCCTCCTCCTCTGAGCCCGGTTTGGGGTGGTCACACATCCAGAGCTGTGGAAAAGGCACACGGCTCAGGTACTCAGGCTGAATGTTGTGGACGCCCCGCAGCCCTGCCTCGCGTTTATAAGGCTAGCCTAAGCCGTCACCATCCCCAGTGGCTTCAGAAGCTCCGTCCTCTCGGGAGGTCCTTGCAACATACTCACCCCCACGTCCTCTCCTGGGTTCTGGAAGCTTCAGGCCCCAGAAGAGGAGAGCATTCCCTCTAGATTTTGGTCACTCAAGGAGATGGAGGTCAGCAACTCCTTGAGGAGGCTGTGCATTCAGGAGCCTGCTGGCCTCCTCTCTCAATTCTC